GTGGCTTCTTGGGCCCCTTTTCTTCCCACCTTTCATCAGACTGGCCAGAATGGGCCTCTTATAAGGGAAGGGTTCCCTTCTGCTACCCGGTGTCAGAGTTCTTGGGTACGTCTCCCTCCTTCTGGGGAGTCCTTGAACATCAGGATCAAGAGGCTGCCAGGGTCCCCAGGGCCAGTGGCCACCTGAAGACGAGGCCCTTCCACAGCGTCCCAGAGAGGGGACACATCTGGCCTCCTCCTCTCACCACCCCCCGTGGCAAGCCTTTCTGTCGCTGGATAGCTCTGATCCTTCATGGGCACCTGTTTCCAGCTCCAAGGATGTTTCTCTGTGATTTCTGTTCAGTGGCGCCAGGCAGCCCTACCCCTGCCCCTTCCCCTCGCTTGCTTGCTGTTGCCAGTCTTTCCCAACTTTTAGGCAATGAGGGGACCCGTGGGTGGCCTGCCGGTGGTAGGTCTTTGTTCCTAGGCCCCTAGGGGCTCCTCCATTGACGGGGGCTCAGTCATGCTGCTCTTCCAGGGCCTGGAAATGCTGTGGAGCCCCCAGTGGGCCCCCAGCCCCACTCCATGAAAGAGCTTCGACCCTTGCTCTGGGCAGACCCCATGCAGCTAGCTGCCTTCCCCGTCGGTGGCAGTCACTGAGCCGCCCACCTCCGCCGCCTGCGTGACCCGTCATAACAGTTTCACCTTGGGGCTGTAATGAACCCCTGTCATAAAGCAGCTGGAGAAATGCGTCCTGGGATGCAGAAATTACTGGAGTGGTAGCAACTCCAGGCCTGAGTCAGGCCCAGCCAGGGCTGAGCATTTCTGTTCTCGGGCCAGATTACAAAGCCACCAGGGGCTTGAGTTTGGGCAGAGCTGCGCCAAGGGAACAGCCTTGGAGCTCGGGGAATCTGCTCGCCAAGCCTCTGATTGGACTTGGGGGTGGTGGTACAGGGCTCTGGGTACCACGACTAGTGGGCACTTTTGGTGAATCAGAAAGACCCCTCCCCTCGTAGCTCCTTTGTACCCCTAGTGGTAGGGGCAGTCATGACTTCTTGAAGCTGCCGGGACCCCGGCCCCACTGCCCCCTGGGAGCCTCCTCCCAGGCGCCAGCGTCCCCTTCAGCCTCTCCATCCTCTGAGGTCAGCACCTCGGTGGCCAGGTTGGAGGCACAGCCAGTCCTGCCATTTTGTGCTTAGAGACCTCTGAGTAAACTCATGGGCTTCTGCCACATTGTTTATAGATTGCATCCTCTTCCAATTTAATTGGTCAGGCTCCAGGTCCCTCCAGCCCCAAGTTTTCAGCATGGGAAAATGCAAGGGACCAAATCTTACAGTAAAAGCCAAAGAGGGGAAGAGCTGGCGTGGCTTCAGCAGCTCTGAGTTGAGGGGCCTCTGGATGTGGCCATTCTGGCCCCCATGTGCCACCCCCGGGCCGCCTCCTAAGCTGGCTTACTGCTGAGTTTCCCTAGGATGCCGGGACTGGCCCTCCCTGGCCCCGTGTCCTATTTGTCCTGGCCCAGGGAACTGCGTTAAAGTTGCTCCTTCTCCAGTCACCCCAGAGGCAGGATCTGGAAATGAATCTTATAGGTACGAAGCAGATACACAAAAGAGCTGAGGGTTAGACGTTTGACCTTAGACTTTCTGGGCATCTGGAGGGTTTTAGAAGTCCCATTCCCCTTGTCACCTCCACAGAGCTTGTGGCTGGTCTGTGAATACCGCAGGTGGTGTGTCTCTACCTTGGCAAGAATCGGTTTGAACCTTGATGAGGAAGGCAGTGTGGACACTGCCTCTCACTGCCAGGGGCTTGTGTTCTCCCATGCCAAGGTGTGTTAATAGAAAGTGTAGGCCAAGTAACTTTGGGGCATGGAAGAGAGAGAGAGCACTGTCACCTGGAGAGGTGAGGAAAGGAGTCTGGGGGGAGGTGACTGAGGCAGAGCTGGGGAGGTGAGGAAAGGATCTGGGGGGGGGGGGCTGGGGGAGGGGGGGGGGGGGGGGGGAAGGGGTCGGGGGGGAGGCGACTGAGGCAGAGGTGAAAAGGGACAGCTTAGACAAAGGCGTGGAGATGGGAGATGGACATGGTGTCCAGAGAATAGGGAGTGGTCCAGTTGGAGAACCCAGAGGACAGCAGAGGGAGCGCTGTGGAATCAGCCTGGAAAGAGGAGTGGGAGCTGTGTTACGAAGGGCCTTCGATACCAAACTGAGGATGTCAGGGCTGATCCTTGAGGTGACTGAGAGCCATGGAACCTTCATGAGCTGGGGAATGCCGTCATCAGGCCTGTGCTGGAGGGCTCTCTGCCCCCTTAGTCAAACCTGAGCTCATCTTCCCTTGGAAGCAGCGCCATTGGCCCTCTCCCTTCCCGCCTGTGCCCCCGTGCCTGGGAGTGGGCTGCCGGGGTGGGGGGGGGCGGGGGGAGCTGTGGTCACGCCCCAGGGCCATGTCAGGGAGATGTCAGGCAGCCTGGGGAGGCCGCTCAGCCTTTGTAAACAGTGTGCCCATCTTAGAGCTGGGAGAGGGTGAGGTGGCTGCTAACCGGTCCTGCTGGTTTCAGGGAATGTGGCTGAACTGGGGGGGGGGGGGGTTGGTGTCAATGAGGTTGCTGTTTACAGCCATTCTGTTCACTTCCCTGTCCTCCGTCCCTGCCAAGCCAAGGCCGTTTATCGTCTTTGGGCCCCTTCTGTCTCCCAGGGTTTCTCACCCCTTCCTTCCATGTTCTCTCCCTCTCAGCCTTTGTAGCTCGGGCTGAGCTGTCTCAGGTTCCGATTCTGGGCAGGCCTTTCCTGAAGACTGCAAGCAGTGCCCAGGAGGGGTGGGGGCCTGGGAGGAGCCAGGGACCAGAGACAGAGAGTAGGGGCACGCAGGGCGTGAGCACAGAGCCCCTGAGGCCCTGAGTAGGGTCACCCCTGCCGTCAGCCCTGGGGGCTCTCGACCCTGATTTGGCGCCGCAGGCAGCCTGGGCAGGGGGGTCCCTGCGCCACTTCCTCTCAGCCAGGCCACTTCCTCTCAGCCAGGAGCGGGCTGGGCCGCCCTGCACTGAAGGTGTCGGAACCGTTGCCTTGAGCCTGGTGCTGGGATTTCCCTGGCTGACTCAGCCTCAGCTCATGCAGAGGTTGCTGGGGAGGGTGTCTGGGTGATGATAGTGACTTGCACATCTGCTGATTAGAAGGAGTCCCCAAGAGCCCCTGCGGTGCTGAGGACAGAGCCGCCCCCAAGGGGGGCCTTTGGGGACGGAAGCTCCCCAGGTGACCGGGCCAGGCCGCACCCCCCAGCTGGGCTTGCTACGCAGCTCAGATTCTCCTAGTCACTTGCTCTTTCCCACTGACTCCAGCTCGGCATGCTGGATGTGTGTCCTGGCTTCCTCTGAAGGTCTCGCTGAAGACCCAGGGCTCTAGGCCTCATTCATCCCCATCCGCCCCCTTTTCCCAACAATGAGCAGCACACCTTCACCCCTCCTCTCCCTGCCACTGCCGAGAGACTGCAGGGAGCCCTAGGGGGAAGCCAGCCCAAAGGTCCCCTCTCCTGTTTAGGCGTTCCTTCCACTCCCCACCTCCCCACCCCTCCCCCAGCAGAGAATTAATGGATTGTTCCCTCCGAGGATCAGCCTCTCCCTCCTTCCCCGGGGAAGGCTGGCGTACACCAACCCCGGTGGGGTGAACGTGGAGGAGGAGGGAGACGGGAGGGCTGTAAGGTAGCTGGCCAGGGGCTGGTTTCTGCCTGTCCCTGACACCTGTCCCTCTCCCATGAAACGGGTTCACGTGTGGCCTCGTGGCAAGAGCTGTTCTCGGTTGGGCTGTGTAGGCAGACGTGGCTGCTGTGTCAGTGGGGGTAGCTGAGCTGTGGCTCCCACGTGGAGGGGGTGCAGAGAGAAGGAGCAGACACACATGGGGAAGGCTTTGGAGCAGCCCTGTGGGGGCGTTGGCAGATGAGCAGCAGCTCTCCTGTGGGCCGGGCTGGGCTGGCACTGGGTGTGTGTGCCAGTCTGATTGGCCTCCGCTTTGTCACTGCCCGTGGGCACGTGGAGGGAAGGAGGGGGAGGGGGCGCTCCAGGAGGCAGAGAGCTTCAGCTCCACGCTCACTCCTGTGGATCTGCCCAGTTTCTCCCTTGGCTCACTTTTGTCCCCAAGTCTGCTGCCTCCTTTGAGATTCTTCCAGCACTTTCTGTTGGCTCGATGTCACCATGCAGCTCTTGCCTCTCAGCTCACCTCTCCGGGAACAGACGGCCCAACCTGGGCAGGAATGTGCCCTCTTCCTCTTCTGGGCCTGCCTGGAATGTTTGCTGCGGGTGCCCTGTCCTGGCACCGCTGAAGGCTCCAGCTTGGCCCCCTGCTGGGACCCTGATACCCAAGAGCAGGTTGACTGTCTCACCTTCACCTGTCGAGGCCGGGGTGTGGCTGTGGTGAAGACTACAGGCTGGCGCCATGACGGGTGCCTCCATGAGGCAATGTGTGCTTTCTTTCCAGGCTACATTCATAGGTAGCCTCCTCTTTTAAAAGAAATGTCTCCGGTTCGGTCTTCACTCAGATTGGGAGCTGAGGGCACGTTGGGAAGACGTTTATTAAGCTGCTTAGATCACACAGATGGCCCCCTCCCTGGGTGGGTAGGTGGGTAGTATAAAGTTGGATGACGTGTGGCACCCAGGGTTTTACCAAAAGGATTCTGAAGCCTCTTTTTGTCCCGGAGCCTGAGTTGTTGAAGGCCACGCCAGGGGGGCACGAGCGCTGGTAGCTCCTGCCCTTCCCTCCGCTCCCATGGCCACCAGGCTTGTTCAGATCTGGCACCTCTCACCCTTCCTCAGGCCCGGATCACCTGAGGCCAGCCCCTTGCTTCTAGCCGTTCCACTGATGCTCTCTCACCTGGGAGATCCTTGAAAGTCTTTCGCTTCAGTTCCCTGCTGCTTGGTTCCTGTAAGTGATTCAGTCTGCCATCCATCCCCCAGTCTTTGCACACGTGGTCCCCTGTGCCTAGAATGTTTTCCCTGCCCACCTCGGCCCTGCCAAGCCGTGGTTCCCCTCAAGGCTCAGCTCAAGGCCACCTTATGCAAGAGGCCATTGCTGGTTCCGTCCCTCCCTCCAGATTACCTGGCATTTACACGGCACACACTTTCTGTTTCCCAATTGAATGTGTGCTGCTGAAAGGCAGAGACAGTTCTGGTTCTGTCCTGACTTTGCCGGGCACACAGTGGAATGGGTGCAAAGTAAATGCGTATTGAACAGTACCAAGCTGGAAAGAAGGGCTTTTAATCAAGGCCTGGGGCAGCCTCTCTTGGAGGCAGGCTCTGGGCTGTGCTCTCTGTCACTGGAGCCAGCACCCACATGGCTGAACTGATGCTCATGGGAGGCCCTGGCGTGAGCAGGGCCCTGGGCTTCCACTTGCCCTTCCCCCCGCGGATGCAGAAAAAGGCAGAGCCCGCTGAGAAGAACAACCGTAAGATCCGGGAAGTTTGGGAGAATTAGGGGAGCAGCTGTGTGGAAAGGACAGCAGAGGACAGGCTGGCGGAGGTGTGCCCCCACCCTGGGTGCCAGGTCCCACCTGTGGTGGAAGGAGCATGGCCAGGGGTGCCGAGGAGTGCCCTGAGTGCGAGGCCCCACCTGTCCTCCAGGTGTGTGGTGCTGTTCCGGTCTGGAGGGAGTGAAGCCCGTTGCCTGCTCAGGGCGATCTCTGGGGCCAGGCCCGGAGGGGGAGGGGGAGGGGGAAAGTTCTTGGCTTAACTGTTCCTTTCCCCGCTCCCCCACCACGATTTCCTCTTAGGCTTTCTCCTTCATGCCCTGCAGCAGTGCAGGAGGGAGCTGTCCTGCCATGGCCTGGCTTCAAGGTCCAGCCTTGAACTGTGACTCCAGCAGTTGCCAGGCAGTTACTCCCGCGTCTCCCGTGGGCCAAACCCTGGGGGTACAGAGGTGAAAGTGAAGTCATCTTTGCTCTCAAAGAGCTTATAGTCTCAAGAAACCCCATTACACATATCAGTATATGTGAATACACACGAAGTTAATAGGTCACCAGGAGCTGGAGGTAACGGGGAAGGGGTGGTGCCTGAGCTGAGCTGCCGAGAGCTAGGCATTCTGAGAGGAGGAGGTGAGGAAGGAGTGCATTCCAGGCATGGGGGACAGACTGGGCAAAGGCCTGGAGGTGGGACCGTAGAGCGTGCAGAGGGCAGTGGCGTGTGATAAACCTGGAGACAGCCAGGCGTCCAGTTGTGGAGGGCCCTGCCAGGAGCTGGGCATCCCGGACAACTGGCAGAGAGGAGGTGGACTGGAGGCATGGGTGTCTTTCCAGATAGTACAGGACCTGATCAAAGGAAGGTGGGGAGACTGTCAGTGCCTTCCCATTTTGTGCTCTTGTCTCACTCAGGCAAACCTCGTCACAAAGAATTCTGACCTAAGCTGTGGTTTCAACCCAGATTTCTGGCCAGCTTCCCAGTCCCTTACCTGGTGTAGGGTCCAAATTGGGCTCCACCCACAGGATGGAGAAACCACAGCTTTTGGGGTTGATCCAGAAAATTGTTTCCCTGACTGTTGGCCCGGCAGGCTTATAAGTCACGCGTCTGGAATCCATGCTTCTCTCTGGCCCCCCTCTTAGCAGAAATCTGCTTGGTGGAAGTCTGGCCCCATCAACCAGCCATGGCTGGGAGCAGAGAGCCTCCCACACCTGCAGCCCTCCACTGACTCCCTGGCATTCCCGTGGCCTCTGAGCCTTACCCTAGAGGGTGGGATTAGGACAGTCATAAAGGACAGTTATTGCCCTGTTTGCTTTTCCCAGCCATGGAGGCCATTGGCTCCATCACCTCACACCTGACTGAAGGATTGGCCCAGGCCAAGTGACGCAGGTGGTGTGTGAGGGGGAGGAGGAAGAGTTCTAGGAGAAGGCTGGGCCATCCACCTCTCCTGCTAGGAGGGCACCACTCTGGTTCTTTTCAGGTAAGAAAGGAGAGCAGATGTCCCTTCTGTGTGCATCAGCTCCTTGGAGTTCATTCTCACCGGCTGGCCCGCTGAGATGACTTGGGACGGCTAAGCAGGCTTCCTTAGGCCTCCAGCTCTGAAAGGGGCTCAGAAGGAAAGGGGTCAGGGACAGGAATGTATTTCAGGATGAGGGGGCAGTGTCAGTGATACCTCGAATGCTCATGAGTGAACTGGAAAGCCTTGGGCTTGGACTGGCAGGCAGCTAGCAACGTGCCAACGAAGCCGGTGGCCTCGTGGTGGGAAGCAGACCAGAGGAGGTCCTAGGGATCCCACACTGGCGCTGGGTAGGATGAGTCGGAAAACTGCTTTAGGCTGAGGGCCCCCCCCCCTTTCAGGATACAGCTCATAAACCCGACACCAAGGCCCTGGATACGGTAAAGAAGGGTTCTCCAGACATCTGCTGGCGTGCTCTCCGCCAAAGACACAACTGCTAATAGCTTCTTGACTTGCTGTTGTGATATTTTCATTTTTCCAAAGACAGAGGAGCCCACCAGGAGAAATCCTTTACAGAATCAAATTCTCACTAATAGGGAGGAAGTGGTTGCTGGGTGAGATGATGGGAACTTTGTGGAAAGGGGAAGTGAGCACACCCTCCTGGAGTTGTGATGGGGGGATGAATTCTGGGTCTGGCTGGATCTTGGCAAAGTAGATTTCAAGGGATTCAAGGGAGGGCTGGCCAGGATTCTCTGGACTAAAGTTCTCCAAGGGAAATTTGTGCCCAGGAGGGATGGGAAACTGTCATGAGTGAAATTCTGAAGACACAAGGGAAAAGAATTCCAGTGAGGCAGAAAAATGGGAGTTCTCTGAAGAGGCCAGTTGGATGAACAGGGAACTTACCAACCAACATAGACTTTAAAAATGAAAAGCAGGGGTCGTGACAGAAACTGGCCCAAGAAGAAGCATGAAGCATGAAGCAGCTTGGGCCAACCCTGAAAACGTGGCTCCAGGAAAAGCTCAGAATGAGCCAGTGGAGGCTCCGGGGAAACCAAGGAAAACAAAGGTGGTGTTCCTGGGGGTGTGTGTGTGTGTGTGTGTGTGCATGCATGTATATGTGCATGTGTATATGTGTGTGCGTGTACGGTTAGTCTGTTTTTCTGAGCTACACAGGGTGACAGCAGAGCCTCAGAAAGGGCCACGTGCAGCCTGTGGGCCTGATGGGATGACAATACCTGACGACAGAGAGAAGACAGACCTGATCAGTACCTTCTTTGTTCCATTTTCTCACTGAGGAGAATGACCTTTGCAAAGGTCAGAACAAAAGGGGTAAAGGAGGCAGAAAGATCATCTCTGGGCGGCTAGGTGGTGCAGTGGTTAGAACTCTGGCCCTGGAGTCCGGAAGACCTGAGTTCAAATTTAGCCTCAGACACTTAACTAGCTGTGTGACCCTAGGCAAGTCACTTAACCTCTCTCTGCCTCAGTTTCCTCATCTGTAAAATGAGCTGGAGAAGGAAATGGCAAAACCCTTCCAGTGTCTTTCCCAAGAAAACCCCAAATGGGGTCACGGAGAGTTGGGATGCAAGTAGAACGACTACAATAAGGAGCATCTTGTCCACCTTTAATGAGTTCAAGTCTCCTAACCCTGTGGGACTATGAATAAATTGCTTATAAATGAAGGAGCAGAAGCATTTATCTGACCTTAACTAGGTTCATAGGATCGTGACAGTTAGAGCTGAATGGGACTTTAGATTAGTTCAACCCCCTCATTTTACGGGTGAGGAAACAGAGCCTTCCCCAAAGCTACCCATGTAGCAAATAAAAGAGCTGGGATTTGAACCCAAGGCCTTTTGATTCCAGAATTCTGAGGATACAAATCCAACCTGGAAGCACTGAAGGAGTTGTTGGGTGTGATTTCTGTCCATTGAGGGATCTTGGAGAACAGGAGATACGGAAGAGCCAGAGAGGGACAAAGGGAAAAGGACGGGGTCTATGAACTGTGGGCTGGTGAGTTTTCAGTGCCTGGGCAGATTCTAGAACAGATCATTAAAGAAATGGTTAGTGAGCATCTGGAAAAAGGGAGCAGAGGCTACGAAGAAGCAGTATAGCGTCCAAGAACAGGCCGTGCTAGGCTGAGGTGGTTTCCTTTTTTGACTGGATTGAGTAATGAACAGGGGAGGGAAATACCATAGCTCAAGTTTTCCTAAGCTCTGGCAAAGCATTGTGTAAAGTTTCTCGTGTGCTTCTTGCGCAGAAGATCAGAAGTTGTAGAGTAGATGAGAAGATCGTTAGATGGTTTGGATTGGGTTGAATAGCCATAATCAAAGAGTAATCAGTTGTTAATGTTTTAGTGTTGGCTTGGCTGGAGGTCTCCAGGGGAGTGTCCCAGGGATCTGTACTAATTTGGGGCAGTTGAGTGTCTTGGACAAAAAGTGTCTATGGTACACTCGTGAAATTTGCAGATAACCAAGTTGTGGGAATGACTAATACACTGGAGGACAGAGTCAAAATCGAAAAAGATCATGACGTACTAAAATGTCAGGATTGGGCTGAATCTATTTTAAAAATCAATTTTGTTGATAGCTTGTGTTTTTATATTGCCTAGATTTCCCCCCATATTTCTCCAACCCTCCTTAATACAAATAATTTTTTTTCCAAAAAGAAAAAGAGGAAGAGAAGAAAAAATTCAGCAAAATTGATCAATATATAGAAAAATATTGCTATTATATGCCATGTTCCCTGCCCGTTGCATGTCTTCCCCCTTCCCTGGGCCCTTTGGGGTACCTTTGGAAGTATCTTCTTCTGTCTCTTCTTTGGACTCAGGTTGGTTCTGGATGATTTCATAACATTCACTTTCCGCTATTGTATATTCTCATAGTTAGTTGTTGGCTCTTTTGTTTTCTTGGTTCTGCATATTTCACTTTGCTTCAGTTGGTGGAAGTCTTCCCACACTTCTCTGTGTCCATCATAGTCATTATTTCTTACAGCAGAGCCGTATTTCTTTATTTCAGGTAATGAACACTGTGTGTGTCAGTCCCTAGTTGACGGGCATCTCTTTTGTTTCCAGTTCTTTGCTGCTGTAAAGATTTTGGTGTTTATGGAGCCTTTCTTTGGTCAAGGATTTCTCCTTGATAGTAGTGGAATCTCAGGGTTGAAGAGTCACTTTATTTGCATAATTCCCAGTTGCTTTCCTTTAGCACTGATCATTCTCATTTTTTGTCATCTTTGTTAATTTACTGTGAGTGAGGTACATCAGGGTTGTGTTGGTTTGCATTTCTCCTGTTAGAGATTTTGATCAATCAAATCTATGGTCATTAATCATCTATATCTTCTGACCACTTCTCTTGGGGAGTGGCCTTTGGTCTTACAGATCTCTGCTTGTTATCTAAATGGCTTGGATACAACCCCTTATCAGGAATATTCAATACAAATATTTTCCCAAGTCGGTTGCTTTCTTTCTCATTCTTTGATGCATTAATTTTGTTTATGTAGAAGCTTTTAAATCCCATGTAATTAAAATCATCTGTTTTATCTTTTGTAATTGTTTCTTTCTGTCGGGCCAAATCTAGTAAAGGGAAAATCTGTAGAGATCAGTGGGAAGGCTTAGACTTGGGTTTAAAAAATCCATTTTACAAATACCGGATGGGAAGGGCCTTGCTGGACCAATCTCCAGGTAAGCGAGGGATTAGTGAACTACAGACGGAGCAGGGAGATGTTGCCATCTCGGGCTGCCTGGACAGAGGCCCAGCCTCCAGCCAAGAGAGGCCCGAGATCAGCCCTCTTGGCTCCTGTCTTCTCCAACCACGTCTGAAGTGTTGGGGCCGCCCTTTCAGAAGGATGTGGATAGGTGGGAGAGGGGCCAGAGGAGGGCCACCAGAATTGAGGGCTCTGAGGCACAGGGGATGTTTGGCCTAAAGACAGAGGAGCCTCGGGGGACATGAGAGCTGTCACCCACAGGGCAGAGTGGGGGGCACCAGGGCTGGGGGAGTTACAAAGGCACATTTAGGCTGCCTGTCAGGCCTGGCCTTGTTAACAGCTGGGGCACGGACACACACACACGCGCGCGCACACACACACACGCACACACACACACACACACACACACACACACACACACACACGCTTCTTCCATTGAAGCAGCAGCCGAATCCTCTTGGAGAGGACACCAGTTAGTGGCTCTTGAATCACTTTCTGGGGCCTCAGGCCTCCCGGCCTGCTGCATGTGCTGCCCAGCCTGTTGTCCCCTCTCCCTGTGCCAGGATCAGGCAGCTGGCAGACAGTACGAGCTCGTGTGGCCGCAGACGTCTTCCTAGTATCTGTCTGCCCGTGAGCGGCGGCTTCAGCAGGGTGGACAGACACAAGTAAAGGTAGGGCCCTGCTGCAGGGCGATTGGACGTCATTAGCAGAGAGGTCGTTGGCTCTTTCGCTGGGGCCTGGGGGCCTCCCTTTCCACCGTCCTCCCTCTGCAGGAGAGGTCCCCTCTTCTTTTCAGGGGAGATCACCATGCAAGGAGGAATGCCTGCAATCATCAGAGTCTTCCTGAGAGTGTGGGCCATCACCCATAGCATTGCCCGGCTGAATGGCCTTAGTGTCCCTGTGCCCTGCACCGCTCAGGCATGCCGGGAGGGTGAATGAGATGTCACCGTGTTGCTCACAGCCCTCTCAGACATTCTGTAGCCAGGGAGGATTAAGATCTGCCCTTCCCTCTCTGCGGAAGTGGGGGGCAGGGGAATGGATCCTTTCCCCAGCATGAGCT